TGTTGGTTGAGAGAGATGAATACCAAAGTGTTTTTTATGTGGTCCTCATTAAATTTATTTTTCCGCTTAAAAGGAAACCCAGGACCAGGCGCAAGTGGCTCACGCCTGTAATCCCAGCGCTTTGGAGTCCAAGGTGGAGGTGGATCACTTGAGGTCAGGAGTTCGAGACCAGCCTGGGCCAACATGGCGAAACCCCGTCTCTATGAAAAATACGCAAATTAGCTGGGCATGGTGGTGCACGCCTGTAATCCAGCTACGAGGGAGGCTGATGAGGCAGGAGAATGCTTAAACAGGGATGGATGTTGCAGTGAGCCAAGATCACACCACTGCACTCCAGCCTGGGCCACATAGCGAGGACTCCGTCTCACAGTTGTTTTCCACACCTTAAGAAATAAGCAGCTACAAAAAGCTAGAGTATTGTACTGATCTCTGATTAAGCCAGATCCTCAAGTGATGGGGTATTTTTTTTTTAATTGCTGTAATTAGTCTTAGGGAGAAATGATGACCACCAAATTCTTCATAACATTTAAAGATTTACCCAAGAATCCCATATTATGATTACTTGCAAGAAAGTTAACTAGAAATAGTGGATGATCCTTTTTAAAATAACTTAATATTATTTGCCATTTAATATTTCTCTTTCTACTGTCTTAGTTGTGATCTTCTAAATTTCAATAGCATTCACATAAAATAGTGGTTATCTATGTCAACACCATAGGAGTATTCTCAAGGTAGTCTTCTCAACCCTCTTTTTTTTTTTTTTTTTTTGAGACAGAGTCTCTCTCTGTCACCCAGGCTGGAGTGTAGTGGTGCAATCTTGGCTCACTGCAAGCTCCGCCTCCCGGGTTCACGCCATTCTTCTGTCTACTCAGCCTCCTGCATGGCTGAGACTACAGGCACCGACCACCACGCCCAGCTAATTTTTTGTATTTTTTTTTTAGTAGAGACTGGGTTTCACCATGTTGACCAGGATGGTCTCAATCTCCTGACCTCATGATCTGCCCACCTCGGCCTCCCAAAGTGCTGGGAGTATAGGCGTGAGCCACCACACCTGGCCTTCTTAACCCTCTTTAACCCCAAGATTGGAAGTGTCAGTTATGACACTGGTTTTTTCCATAAATTCTCAAATAGACCTATTTCAATATGGCACTCAAAAGACGTGTCTTGGAAATTTCATTACACCTTTTTGGGAAGACTTAATTTGTTTTCTTTAACCTGCTATTTATTACAGAAGCATCTAGGCATTAGCTTTTATTCCTAGGGCATTAATATCTTTTTCCAGCTTTATTTTTTAGTATGCAGATATAGAGATGAAGACGTAGAAGTGTTTTGTAGAAGAGCCGTTTACCTGGAAACCTATAGTGAAAATGCTTCATATGGTGCATTTTATTCTTCATTTTGTCTGGATATTTGAAGACCAAGAAAGAACATTATAAAATGGGCAGGGAAATGGTGGCTGTTAAGATACGGTATCAGTAGTTTGCTTTGTGGCTTCAAGTTTGTAGTCTTTCATAATAGAATCGTATATCCATTGAACAATTTCAAAACCTCCATAGTCGACCCCAAGGCTTCTCGGGTAGGGCATATGAATTTGTTCTTTCTGAAAATGTGTCCCCCTCCTCTGTATAGCACTCAATCTCATTCCCTTTTTAGTGTCCTGGTGAAGACCTAGTTCTTTCCGGAGACAATTCCGCTTCAGAAGCACTTTACTTAAGAGGACTTGCCAGGCTGGACAATGCCCGTTGACTTGGGGCAGGCCCTAGGCCTGCTGCCGTCACTGGCGAAGGCTGAGGGCTCCCAGTTCTCGGAATCAGATGCTGCACTTCAAGAGGAACTCTCCAGCCCGGAGACCGCGCGCCAGCTTTTCAGGCAGTTCCGTTACCAGGTGATGTCTGGGCCTCATGAGACCCTGAAGCAGCTTCGGAAGCTCTGTTTCCAGTGGCTGCAGCCAGAGGTTCACACCAAAGAGCAGATCCTGGAGATCCTCATGTTGGAGCAGTTTCTGACCATCCTGCCCGGGGAGATCCAGATGTGGGTGCGGAAACAGTGTCCAGGAAGTGGAGAAGAGGCAGTGACCCTTGTGGAGAGCTTGAAGGGGGACCCGCAGAGACTGTGGCAATGGGTAAGCAGAGGGTATTATGATTGGCGAGTGAAACACAGGGCCCCTCTCTGGTCCCGTCAGGTGTGTGGTCTTTTTTCTTATGACACCAAGTGGGTGGAACTTTTCACACCAACGGGCAATTCTCTGATTCTCTAACACCAGTAGCGTGTCCTGCAGTTCGGTCCTGAAGCTAACTCTGGAGGTTCAGGGCCCAATCCAAGACTGCTGCTGTTCTCAGATGCCAGTCACAGGTCCCAGGGGCCACCTGAACTTCTGACAAATTGGCTATAAATTCGGAGATTCCCACAATCTTCTCTTCAAGTTCGATACTTAGTTAGAATGACTTACAGAACTCAGGGAAGGATTTTACTTCCTGTTACTGACTTACTATAAAGGATACAACTCACTAACAGCCAGAGAGAAGAGCTGCGTCGAGCAAGGTGTGGGGGAAAGGGCATGGAGCTTCCATTGCCTCTCCTGGCATGCTACGTTAGTTACCAGTACCTCCCTGAGGTCACCAACCTGGAAGCTTCCTGAACCCCATGGTTTAGGGATTTTTATGGAGGCTTCACTGCTTTGGCACACTTGACGTAGTCATTTGCATTGGTGATTGAGTATCTCCAGCTGCCCTCCCCTCCTCAGATGCGGGGGGGTGGGGGGGGGTGGGTGGAGGGGGGGGGGAGTTGGGGGGGGTGGGGAGAGGCTGAAAGTTCCAACCTTTTAATCTCAAGGTTGGTTCCTCTGGCAACCAGCCCCCCGCCCTGAAGCTATCTAGAAGCCTAGCATAAACTCTGGTGTGGTTGAGAAGGGCTCGTGATGAATGACAAAGCCTCTTCCTTCACCTCTGTCACTCAGGAAATTACCAGGGCTTTAGGGGACAAAGACTAACTGTGTATTTCTTGTTATACCACAGCTAGGTTCCCTCAACCTCACCTAATTCTAACACCCTGACTCTCAACACTTTTTAGCTGTCGAGGATTGAGGGTGAAGTCTCCCAGCATATTCCACCTTTAGAACGTTTGAGAAGTTATTCAAAAGTTGCCGGAGTTTTCATTGGTGGGGCATATCCCGTAGAGGCACCTTAGTGGCGTGTCTCCAAGGTCTCCCATGCCTGGTGCAGGCCTCAGCTTTTGGTGTCTTTTTGGGACATTTCTCACCCTGGTTCCTGCTGGACTAGAAATAAAAGCTGGTTTTCTCTTTCTCCACATCCTTAGAAATTGTCTTATGATCTATTGCAGAGGGTAAGCTTTGTATCTTTTAGAGATCCTTACTCTGGATTCTTCAGTAATTACTAATATATGGTCTCTAGATCAGTATCCAGGTTCTGGGACAGGACATCTTATCAGAGAAGATGGAATCTCCAAGCTGCCAAGTGGGGGAAGTGGAGCCCCATCTTGAAGTGGTGCCTCAGGAATTGGGACTTGAGAATTCTTCGGTAGGGCCTGGGGAGCTTCTGAGCCACATCGTGAAAGAGGAATCTGACACAGAAGCAGAACTAGGTGAGGATGGTGCTGTGTGGTGGTCTCTTGGAGAGATTTTGGGATTGGGATTAGTAGGCCTAAGTGAGTTGAAATGGTACGCTGCTCAGATTGGGGTATCCCTGGGAGGTTTGCCAACAGGTTAGACCTAAATAAACCGCTCTTGCTTGGAGAGTCAACGTCTGTGTTTTAAACTGCTTTATGACTGGGCCAGACCCTTTGGATTTTGGCTCTGAGGAAGGAGGTGGGAGAAAATACGGGTGAGACTGGAAGGTTGGAGGGAGTTGGAGTTTGTCAGAGAGATAAACAGAAGTCTTGTAATATGGATGACAGTACAGGTATTGTTCTGATTTGTGAAGATTGTTATCTGCGCCCTCTGGGGAGTGGTTAAGGCAGACATCCAGATTCTGAAAACTTCCTCTCCTCACTTCAGCCCTGGCTGCCTCCCAGCCTGCCCGACCAGAGGAAAGGCTGATCAGAGACCAGGACCTCGGAGCCTCACTGCTCCCAGCAGCACCGCAGGTGAGCTGAGGTACAAACACGGTGAAAAGGAAGCTTTTTACCTTCTATAATCTCTTCCTCCTGCCTCTTCACCCCATTCCCCATCCTGAGGAAACCTCTGATGTGCTCTCTGTCACCATACGTTAGTTTACTTTTCCTAGAGTTTTATAAAAATAGAATCATGCCAAATGTACTCTTATCTTTGTTCTTATGCATATAGTGTATATATATTTGCTTATTTCCGTATATTCTCTTTTTTTTTTTTTTGACCTCGCTGTGTCACCCAGGCTGGAGTGCAGTAGCGCGATCACGGCTCACTGCAAGTTCCGCCTCCCAGGTTCACGCCATTCTCCTGCCTCAGCCTCCCGAGTAGTTGGGACTACAGGCGCCTGCCACTGCGCCCGGCTAATTTTTTTTTTTTTTTTTATTTTTAGTAGAGCTGGGGTTTCACCGTGTTAGCCAGGATGGTCTCGACCTCATGATCTGCTCATGTATTCTCATTTTTTGAAACAATTTGATTTTGATGTGCCTTAGAGTCATTTTCACATTTCATATAATTGGGATTCATTGAGCTTCTTAGATCTGTGGGTGTATGATTTTCACTAAACTTGGAAAATTTTTGGCCATTATTTCTAAAGCATTTTTTTTTTCTGTCTCACTTATTTCTCCTCTCCTTTAAGAACTTGGGAAATAATACCTGTGGAATGTATATAATGATAATGTATATACATGTATCAGAGCTCTTCAAGTTGTCCCAAGCTTACTGTATTTTTTTTCTGTTTTTGAAGTCTTGGTGTTTTATTTTGGACAATTCCTGTATGTCTTCAAGTTCATTAATCTTTTCTTTTATAGTATCTGATCTGCTGTTAATCTCATCCAGTATATTTTTCATTCTGTTTTTGAAGTCTTGGTGTTTCATTTAGGACAGTTTCTATTTTTATGTCTTCAAGTTCATTAGTCTTTTCTTCTTACAGCATCTAATTTGCTGTTAATCTCTTCCAGTATATTTTTCATTTTGGATGAATGTTTCACGTCTAGAAGTTTGATTTTGGGCTTTATTATATCTTTCATGTCTATACTTAATGTGTTCACTTTTTTCTCTAGCTTCTTGAACATGTGGAATATAGTTGTATTTGTATTCATATCCTTACCTACTGATTACTACCTGTATTGGGTCTGGGTCAGTTTTGATCAAATGATTATTCTCATTATGAGATGTGTTTTCCTGCTTCTGTGTATGCCTGGTAATCTTTGTCTTTTTTGTTTGTTTGTTTGTTTAGAGACAAACAAAAAGTGGGTTTTACTTTTTCACCCACGTTGGAGTGCAGTGGTGCGGTCATAGCTCACTGCAGCCTTGACGTCCTGGGCTCAAGCCATCCTCCTGCCTCAGCCTCCTGGGTAGCTAGAACTACAGGCATGTGCCACAATGCTTGGCTAATTTTTAAATTTTTTTGTGTCTTACTATGTTGCCCATGCCTGGTAATCTTTGATTGGGTATCAGACATTGGTGGGGTGCTGTATATTTTTGTATTACTGTAAATGTTCTTGAACTTTGCTATGGGATGCAGTTATTTGAACACGGTTGGTTGGTTATATGGCACCAGAGAAACATTTAGTCTAGTATTATTTTTTCCATGCTAAGGCACCTCCCTTCTGAGTATTCTGAGTAATCTGATGCCCCTTCATATACCAGGTTTTCCACTCTGCCTGGTGGGAGTACAAACTGTTTCCAGCACTGTGTGAACTCAGGGGATTTGTTCCCTCTGATTCTTTTGGGTGGTTATTTCTCAGACTTTGGGGGGGGTATGCTCTGTAGATCTCCGGAGCTTTCTCTTTGTGCAGCTTCCTCCTCTGGTTTCTCTGCCCTGTCAATTCTAAGCACCTTGGCATTTCCAGACTCTGGGCTCCTTCTGCTCAACTCAGGGAGGCTGCCTGGCTCAGCCTGGGTTTCCCCTTCCTGTGCTGCTGCCTGGATCCTCTGTCTAGGCAGTACGTTTGGATAACTAGCGCTCACTGAATTTGTTTTCCCACTTCCAGGGATCTTGTTCTGCTGTGCTTGGGTAATGTGCAGTGTCTGAAAACGATTGTTTCACACATTTTGTCCCATTTTTAGTTGTTTCAGGCAGGAGGTACATTCAGCAATTCCTAATACTTCATTTTTGCTGTACATAGAAGTCTCTGGGACAGATTTATGTTGATACGTAGTTAACAATTTTGAAAAGTTGAATTTTGTAAAAATATTTTTTTTTTCACGAGCCTATATACCTTCATTAAAACATCATTTACAACGTCGAGGGAACTCCTCCGGGGACTTGCCTTGCAGTCTACTGTAGAGCGAAGATGAAAATAGAGATGGCAGGAGGTGGTGCTTAATGCTGTGTTTCAGACCAGGGTCTGAGCTTCGGCTCTCCAGGCTCAGAGATACAAAAACTAGAGAATATCCGTTTCATAGTTTACTCTGGGGGAACGTGGATGGGGAGGTGGCAGGGGAGAGACATATCTTTTTAGTGAACCAAATGCACCCTCCTGCCTGCTTTCAAGGTGTCCAGAAACCAAATTGTGAAGCAAGACATTGCTTGGTGAGAAAGATTTGGGTGTTCTGTGGAATATGTCAACCAGGCTTGGAGGATTATTGTTTCTGCAGTATGTACTCACCTGTTCTGGATAACTTAAAGTCGGAAGATTTAAAATGCTCATCAGCACCAATTTGTGTTTTACAACTGTATTTACATATACATGTGTCTGTATTTCCCTACCTTCAGAAGATAACTAGTTAGCAACCATTTAAGTTAAACGAACAAAATTCATCCCTACCCAGTCTGAATATCCCCTCCAAACTAACAGCAGTTATTTGCATCAGGAAGACTTTGATATTTAATGGAATCCTTTGGAAGTAAAAGGAATTTTTAAATTAATCACTCCCTCTAATCTCAAGTAAGTGAGGAACTTCATAAATAATGCCAGAATGATGATATGGTATTACTCCCAGTACACAGTAGTTATTTCATTAGTAGAAACCATGACTCAGTTGGAACCTTACATAGTACTCCAGCAATGCATTTACTCACCTTCCTCTGTTCTCAAACTTAAAGGAAAGGAACAGCGTGTAAGTAACTCAGTGCAAGTCAGTTGTAGTATCTTATAAACCCACAAGATGGTGCCAGTTCCACACAAAAATAGAGAGAATTTTCCCATCAAATCCCATGCTTCTGTCTTTCAGGAGAGAAAGTTAGGTTTTTCCGTCTCTTCTAAATATGAGAAAAAGGCAAGCTGGCTGCCATTGGTGTCTTGCCTCTTCAGTAGGAGGTTTTATTCGAATGCACCCAGCTTCTTGGCAGTTCCTTGAGTAAATCTGTGTCTTTAAGCTGGAGGTACCCTGTCAGTGCTCCTGAAGCAACTTCTCTGGTTTTTGAATGAGCTGACTTTGACCCCTGGGGGTTTTGGTGGCTGTATCCTTTTCTGCCTTGTCCTCTTCTTGGCCGTTACTGTGTTCATGGAGTAGATCCTGCGTCAGCAAGCCAGGCAGCCAGGCAGATACTACTGTGCTTGTACATCCTTTGCTCTGCTGGCACTGAAGCCAGGGTCCCTGTGTTCTGACCACAAAGACTGAGAATTCCTGTATTCAGCTCAAGTGTTTGCTCAAGTGATTATTTTCAGGAGGTTGTTAAAATAGCTGCATTCACAGGAGATTAACAGAATAAGCTGCTAGCTGTTTATACTTTAAACATTAAAAAAAATTTAAATTAAAATTCACATGAAAAATGTGGTGATAGTTAATAGTTGACTATGTAATTAGGTATATTGAGGTCGCTTTTCAGCTTCCTATCCTTCCCACCCAAAAAAGTCCAAACCCTCTTTCGTTTGTTTGTTTGGCTTAGCACCTGCTAATTAAACACTTTTTGGTATCTCCTTTCTCCTTGAGCCATTTCCACTTCTCTTTGATGTGCTGGGGGCAGACTTGACTTAGGACTGAGAATGTATTAGTCCGTTTTCACACTGCTGATAAAGACATACCTGAGACTGGACAATTTACAAAAGAAAGAGGTTTAATTGGACTTACAATTCCATATGGCTGGGGAGGCCTCACAATCATGGTGGAAGGCAAGGAGGAGCAAGTCACATCTTTCAAGGATGGTGGCAGGCAAAGAGAGAGCGCGTGCAGGCAAACTCCGGTTTTTAAAGCCATCAGATGTTATGTTATTCACTATCACGAGAACAGCACAGGAAAGAACCGCCCACTTGGTTCAGTTATCTCCCACCAGGTCCCTCTCAAAATACATGGGAATTATGGGAGCTACAAGATGAGATTTGGGTGGGGACACAGAGCCAAACCATATCAGAGAGTGCCTTCCCCGAATAGTATATTGTATACAGTAGGAGGATGACTCTGTAATTCCTCTCCTCATTTCTGTTCCCTGAAGCCTGGCTATTCATGTCTATCAACTTTGGGGTTTCTGAAAGTGTGCAGAATCCGTTAATTCTCTCTGCAGACCCTTTGGGTGATTCTGGGAGACTGCATGTCATAGTAATAATATATATTATCTACTGAGGACCTATTTGCTGAGGGCTCTGTTTCACCTCAGCAACATATATTGAGTGGCTCTTCTGTTCTGGGCAGGCTCTTGGGACCTGGGAAGGTATAAGAGTAGGACAGAGTCCTTTCCTCATGGAGCTTACGTTGCTAGTAGAGGCAGCAGTTAATCAAATACTTACATGTGTGCATATACATATGTACAAACACATAAATATTTAATAAACAGATAAATGCTGTGAATAAAAAAAAGTACAGTGTGCTATGAAATTAGGTGACACTTGCATTATTTATCTCAAACCTCCCAACACTTTTGTGAGTTCAGTGCCATCATTAGGTGAGGCCTGAAACTCTGGAAGGTTAAGTAACTTGCTCAAGGTCACACAGCTAGAAAGTGGCAAGGTTGGGACTTAAAACTCAGTATGTCTGACTCCAAAAAAAATGGGTTGCTAATCCCTCTGCTATACAGTCTGAGTTTGTCATAGTCAGCTTCTTGGTGGAAGACTGAAATTTGAATTCATGAAAGTAGACCCTAACTGTATGGTATTCCCAGTTTTGAGTCTCCAGTCTGTCGTTTCATAGGAAAAGCAGGGCTTCTTTTGGAGATTGTGGAGGGACAGCTTGCTCCAGAGAACCCACCAGTTTTCCACTATCTGGCAAGAAAACTGATTTAATGTTAGACTCTAAATGCAGAACTATAAGAGATTTCAAGTATGGTTATAACCTCTCTCTCTTCTCTGAATATACCAATCTTTGTTTCAGGGTAAAGCTTACAATGCAGTTGACTCTAACTACATTTTACTGATTTGCACTTGCTTTTCCAACAGATTCCTTTTTAACTTCTTTCTTTTGCTTTTTGAATTCCTGATTTTAATTAAATAGTGGGACTATCAGGCTATTTCTCTTCAAAGACCTCTAGTACAAGCACTTGAGTTAAAAAACAAACAAACAAAAAAACAAATAGTACCAGCCGGGCGAGGTGGCTCACACCTGTAATCCCAGCACTTTAGGAGGCCAAGGCAGGCGGATCACGAGGTCAGGAGATTGAGACCATCCATCCTGACAGTGAAACCCCATCTGTATTAAAAATACAAAAATTAGCCAGGCGTGGTGGCGTGTGCCTGTAGTCCCAGCTTACTCGGGAAGCTGAGGCAGGAGAATCACTTAAACCTGGGAGGTGGAGGTTGCAGTGAGCAGAGATCGCTCCACTGCGCTCCAGCCTGGGCGACAGAACAAGATTCCATCTAAAAAAAAAAAAAATAGTATGGAAAAGGCTCCTGCTCTGTATATTCTCCACTTTTAAATAATTCAGCTGAAAAAGTGCAGAATGTAAAGCCTAGATGTTTTCTCACCAAGGAAAGAAACACTGATATAGGGACTGTTGTTTTCCCTTTGGCCTCTTTGTCCCTTGAACCACTCTGCTGGGATTTCTCAGGTCTTGGATGGCCATGATCCTATGGCACGTTTCTTTCTTCTCAGCTTTCCTTTAGGCCGGGAAGGCAGGTTCAAACACCTTCATTGGAGTCATGGTATTGTATTTTTTTTTCCCAGGAACAGTGGAGACACCTGGATTCCACTCAAAAGGAGCAATACTGGGATCTCATGCTGGAGACCTATGGGAAAATGGTCTCAGGAGGTGAGGGCATGGGTTAGCCTGATGGAAGGAGGTGGAAGGACTGGAAAACTGTGAGGCATTTTCCATACACTCATAGAGACGTCTGCTGAACGTAAAATTGCCAAGTGAAGGAAATCATTAGGGACACAGTTGGGAACTGGGGCAAGTTGGAGATAGCAGAATTACAGTAAGAACTTCCTTGTATTGAAAGTATTCAGTGTGCCAGGAACTGTTTGTGGGTACATTGCATGGAATAACTTCTTTAATCTATGAAATTGATGATGGTATTCTCATTTTAAACCTGATGGAAGTGAATGTCAGATCAAATACTTACCAACTGCCACGTAACTCATAAGTGGGCTGAGTCATGACGGAACTTAGTTGTGGCTGACTCTGAGTCCACGCTCTTTTCTACTAAGCCACACTTGTCAGCCAACCATTGGTGGGATCCCAGTCGTGATGCTCACACCAGCCTGCCAGGTAGTCTACAGACCTTTCTGTCCACCTCCTTAGACTCCTGTTTTCGTGGCCTTTACCATCAGTCAAGGTCATCCTGTGAGTACTGGTGTCTTACAAGCTCCACACGCTGTTCTAAGGTGAATTTCTGCAAGCGTCCAGAGCCTTCATATTGTCTCTAATGCGTAGGGTACTCCTTTGAAAGACACAGCTTCAGCTCCCAGTCTTCCCCATTCATCCAGGCCCACCATACATCTTTCTCTCTATAGCAGGCATTTCCCATTCCAAACCTGACCTGACTAATTCAATAGAATATGGGGAAGAGCTGGCAGGACTGTACCTTCATGTCAATGAGAAGGTCCCAAGACCCACCTGCATAGGTGAGTAATCGTTCATTGGTCTGGAATCATTTCTGACTGCCTCTCATGAAATTGGAGGTGACTGGGGAGGTGGTGAAGGAGGTCGGGGGAGACGGAATATTCTATTACGTTGGTTGTAAGTAGCCATGATCTGATTGGTTTGATTCGACTATTGAGATTGAGTCTATTTATCTCTGGCTATAGGGCTGCTGACACACATTTAACCATGGAAGGTCTGACCACACATCTGACCACACATCAGACCTGTTGCCTTTAATCTTTTCTGTTGTTTTAGCTTTCTTTCTCAGAAAGAATTAAGATTCACACAAATTGAGACCAATACAAATAGAGTAGAATTTCATTGAAAAGGACTATGTAGCAGCCTAGCAAGAAGTTAGAGTATCTAGACATAAAACAAACAGGAAAAAGTTTTATCTAATCCCTGTGCACCTCACATTTTTAAAACAGCAACATCAACAAATACTTCATATAAATAATTTATTTAAGACTAGGGAAGAAAAAATCTGAACTTGTTCTCTTGTAAAATAGCAGTCATTCTTTCCTTTCTACACTTTTTCTAAAACACTGAAGTGATGTAAAACCTAACTGTGAAACCTCCCCGCCCCACCCCCCCACACACATACACACACTTACATACACAGTAAATCCCAGCACCTTAGAGGAAGAAGAGGATGAAGGATGGGAATGGTAGGGCAAGCCATTCTTTCTCCCCAGTGGCATCTAATTAATTATTTTCTTTTGCTAGTATACCACAGAGAGAGCGATCATTAGCTGAGATATTTGATTTTAATTTTATGCAACATATTTATCACGCTATTTCACAAGGATTTCTTCTGGAACAGTATTTTTCAAACTGCATTGCATAACCAGTTAGTGAGTTGTGAAATAATATGGTAGAGTTACAACCAGCGTTAAAACAAACAAACAAAAAAAAACAAACAATAAGATTGAAGAGGAAATATCAGATGTAGGGGTGGGTAATATTTCAGGAAATACTTGTTTAAAATATGTGTGTGTGTACTGTGTTTCAATATAAATATATTAATTACTGCCTTAGCTTGGGCTGCTGTAACAAGATACCATAGATAAAGTTGCTTAAACAACGAACATTTATTTCTCACATTTCTGGAGGCTGGGAAGTCCAAGATCAGGGTGCTAGCATGGTTTGCTGACCTCGCTTTTCTTGCTGTGTCATCACAGAGCAGAGAGGGGGGTTGGGGAGAGGAGACAGGGAGAGGCAGGGAGAGACTGGGAGAGGGGGAGGTGAGAGAGAGGGAGAAGGGGAGACAGGAAACTAATCCCATCATGAGGACTCCACCCTTAGAACCTCATCTAGACCTAATCCCTCCCAAAGGCCCCAGGCCCCACCTCCAAATACCATCATATTAGGGGCTAGGGCTTCAACATAAGAATTTTGGGGGATCACAGTTTAGTCCGTAGAACTTATTGTGGGTTATAGTCAGAGAAGGTTGAAAATATTGCTTTGGAGGTTGTCGCAGTAGGATTTTTTTTATAGACTATTTTTTAGGGCAGTTTTGGGTTCATAGTAGAATTGAATGGAAGCTACAGAGATTTCCCATATAGCTCCTAGTAGTCTGATCTTATTTGCGATATATAGCTCACTATATTCCTACTCATTTTGTTTGTTTGTTTTTCCCTCAGCCCACCTCTGCTGACATGGTCCCATTAGATACTGCCTGTAACCAGATGTGAGGAGTCTATAAGGGTCATCCCGCCTTGATAGGCAAAAAAAAAAAAAACTATTACAGGTTCCTGTCTCTACTAAAAATGCAATATATATATACATCTATATGTGTGTGTGTGTGTGTGTGTGTGTATATTTATAGCTGGGCATGGTGGTGGGCACCTGTAATACCAGCTACTTGGGAGGCTGAGGCAGGAGAATTCGCTTGAACCTGAGAGGCGGAGGTTGCAGTGAGCCAAGACCACACCATTGCACTCCAGCCTGGGCAACAAGAATGAAACTTCGTCTCAAAAAAAACAAAAACAAAAACGAAGGATATGTGGAAAGAGGTTTAGGACGATGAATCTGGCAGCAACGTGTAGGACAGATAGGAAGGGAACACTTGGAGGAAAGAAGTCTGCAGGAAGTCAGTGCGGGAGTCCGGCTGTCTGGGGAAGAGACCTGGAATAATTGTGGAAGTCACAGTAACCAGATGGGAAAGGCCTGGTTTGAAAAATACAACAGTGTGCTCGTTTACCAGATCTGGACTCAGATCAGGGGCAAAAATCAATGTAGAGGGTGAATATGCTGTTACAGTTGACCGTATGGAAGAACAGCTCCTAGTTAAAACAGGCCAGCAGGGGGCAGTCTCAAAAAGTCATCTACTTCCCCTTCTAATCAAAATCCAAAGGATTAAAGTTTTTAAAGTAGTTATCTGGAAAAATACAACATGCAAGAATAGTTTTAAAAAAAGTTTTGAAAGAAGAATGTTTCATGAATGCTAGATCTGAAAATATTAAGTCTTGTATTGTAAAGGTAAAAATCATTAAAATAGTGTGATGCTGATATAAAAGTAGATGCACAGATCAATGGAACAGAAAAGGGAGCATAGAAAGAGATGCTGGTCTGTATAAGAATTTAGCATGATCAGGCCAGCGCGGTGGCTCATGCCTGTAATCCCAGCACTTTGGGAGGCTGAGGCAGGCGGATCATTTGAGGTCAGGAGTTTGAGACCAGCCTAGCCAACATGGTGAAACCCCATCTAACTACACTACAAAAATTAGCCGGGCTTGGTGGTGGACACCTGTAATCCTAGCTACTTAGGAGGCTGAGGCAAGAGAATTGCTGGAGCCTGGGAGGCAGAGGTTGCAGTGAGCCGAGATCACGCCACTGCACTCCAGCCTGGGTGACAAAGCAAAACTCCATCTCAAGAAAACAACAACAAGAAACAGTTTTCATGAACATGACAGATAAATGATTATTTTTGTTAATATAGAAAGAGTTAAAGAAAGTTGATACGAAAAATGTACTTTCCCAGTAAAATATGAGCAGTAGTCTTCGAGTATGAAAAATAGCTCATGAATGTGATAAAGATTCATCCTTTCATAACTTAAGAATTAAAATTTAAAACAGTGAAAAACCATTTTTCATCCGTCTAAATGGCATGTTTAAAAATATTCAATATTTAAGTATTGAATACCTACTTCCCCCTCTGCCCAATTTCACATATGAGAGGATGGCAGAGTTGTTCTGGAAGTTGGGTTACCAGTAGGTGTCAAGAGCCTTAATATTTATGCCTGTTGACACAGTAATTCCACTTTGAGAAATTCCTTTGAGGTATTGATGAGAAATGTGGGCAAAAACTTATGAAGAAAAATGCTGATCACAGCATTATTTATTGTAGCAAAAACACAATAAGCAAATTAGATTTTCATGGTAGGGGAACAAATTATGTGTTTATTATGGCATCTTCTTGATGGGCCATTACTCACCTCTTTAAAATGATATTTATAAAGGCTTTTTTAAAGACAAGAGAAAGTACCTTTGCCATTGGAGAGGAATATATTCTAAGGCTTTTATTTTATTTTATTTTATTTTTAGATTCAGGGACATTCTAAGGCTTTTTGACTTCACAAGTTCAGATCTAGCTCTCTAGAAGATGCCTAGATCCCTGGCCGACAATTGAAAAGACACTAATGTATGAAAGAGAAAGGTAAATGGCATGTTCAGATCTTTAGTTAGAGATCTTTAGAAAGAGAAAGAGATCTTTAGAAAGATCTTTAGTTAGAGATCTTTAGAAAGAGAAAGGTAAATGGCATCTTTAGATCTATATAGTTAAAATCATGTATAAAAGTTGAAAATCCTACCATCAAAATAAAAATTTTCTATACGCATCATTAAGTAGTATAACCAAAAACCCAAGTTATGGTGAGAAAAACAAACTTCCAGTTGCTAGTGTGATTTAATAAAGCACATGTAAATACTAGATTCAAGCACAGATCAAGGGATTCACTTTTATAGTACAACCTTGCTGCACTGCAACTGTGGTAAAATGACACGTGCATTTCACAAATTCTGGGCGTCTTATGAATGGGAGAGGGAGACTCCATATTACATTGATTAATGCCACCATTCACAATTAAATACTACATAGCTGGATATGGAACGATATGTACAATATGACACAAATTATGTCAGAAAATAGCATATACCTACATACATATAGATTAAATTAAAAAGACTGAAAGGAAATGTATACTCATAGTTGTCATCTCTGGGTGGTAAGATTGAGGCGGATTTGGTTTTCTTCTGTATATATTTCTCTCTCTTGAGTTTTTTTTTTTTAAGTTACCATATTTATCTTTTATACATAATCAGATAAAAATCATTTTAAAAGCAGTAATTGCCTATAATACTGGACCTTTCCTAGACCTTAAGAAATACATGTGGCTTTATTTATGGAGTGATCACTTTATGAGCACTCCTGTGTTGTTTAAAAATCCTCAGCTCCAGAGCCGAACCATTTAGCCTTGAACCCAGGACAGGGGAAGTGAGTTTGAGCATTCAGGCATATGGTAGTTTTCTTTATCACTTACTAATGCCCTTAAAAAAAAAAAAAAAAAAGGCTGAGCGCGGTGGCTCACACCTGTAATCCCAGCACTTTGGGAGGCCGAGGCATGTGGATCATGAGGTCAGGAGATCAACACCATCCTGGCTAACACGGTGAAACCCCGTCTCTACTAAAAATACAAAAAATTAGCCGGGCGTGGTGGCGGGCGCCTGTAGTCCCAGCTACTCGGGAGGCTGAGGCAGGAGAATGGCGTGAACCCAGGAGACGAAGTTTGCAGTGAGCGGAGATCGCACCACTGCACTCCAGCCTGGGTGACAGAGCGAGACTCCATCTCAAAAAAAAAAAAAAAAAAATGAATGTTTTATGATGACCTTCTCTTTGACATATGAGTTAGTAAACAGGGCATAGCACTTGAACCATTTCAAATCTTCTTTCTTCTTTTAGGAGACAGACAAGAGAATGACAAGGAGAACCTAAACTTGGAGAATCACAGGGACCAGGAGCTCCTGCATGCTTCCTGTCAAGCCTCAGGCGAGGTTCCTTCTCAGGCTTCCTTGAGGGGCTTCTTCAGTGAGGATGAGCCAGGATGCTTTGGAGAAGGAGAGAATCTCCCTGAGGCTCTGCAAAACATTCAGGATGAGGGAACAGGGGAACAGCTCTCTCCTCCAGAAAGGATTTCTGAGAAACAACTAGGTCAGCATTTGCCTAATCCTCATTCAGGAGAAATGTCCACTATGTGGCTTGAGGAGAAGAGAGAGACCTCCCAGAAGGGGCAGCCAAGGGCCCCCATGGCCCAGAAGCTCCCCACCTGCAGGGAGTGTGGGAAGACCTTTTATAGGAATTCTCAGCTTGTTTTTCACCAAAGAACTCACAACGGAGAGACATACTTTCAGTGCACCATCTGCAAAAAAGCCTTTCTGCGGAGTTCAGACTTTGTGAAGCATCAGAGAACTCACACAGGAGAGAAGCCCTGTAAATGTGATTACTGTGGGAAAGGCTTTAGTGACTTCTCAGGATTGCGCCACCATGAGAAAATCCACACGGGCGAGAAACCCTATAAATGTCCCATCTGTGAGAAAAGTTTCATTCAGAGATCAAACTTCAATAGACATCAGAGGGTTCACACAGGAGAGAAGCCTTATAAATGTTCGCACTGTGGGAAGAGTTTCAGCTGGAGGTCGAGCTTTGACAAACATCAAAGATCCCACTTAGGAAAGAAGCCCTTTAAGTAGCCAGTAACCAAACCCTCTTTCCCCATTTCTGTCTCCCAGCCCATTAAAAATATACTCAGCTCCATCAAGAGGAACTGTGTCTCTGAGAGGATACCCCCGTTCATCTCCTCTTTTCATGGATTGGAGAGGCGAGAATCTGGACATGGCTTTGGACTTGGAGGATATCTTGGATTGGATTTCACAATGGCTTAAATTCTTGATTCTGCCTCAGGAGAAAGAATAGTCTTCATGTTTCCACTCATCCTTCCTTTGGACCCACTGGGGAAAAAGTCTAAACTGGAGATCCAGTTTTAGAAGTGCTTTCTGGGAAGCATTTAATGGGATTAGCTGTAGTCACTGCTTATGGGAAGAACCTCAGATGAGCCCCTTAAAATGGGTTCTAGAGCAGGTCTTCTGTTCCAGAAGGGGAGAAGAGGAGAAGCATAGAGGGCCAGTGAGCTCACGTGCGTTCTTTGTCATCGGGGCGAAAAACTCACTTCAAGTGTCCCTTGTTTGAAATAAACTTAGAGTCACTTTCTATCTTACTTGTTTGAAGTGTTCACTGTGTGTTTGACTGTATTTCAAAGCACATGATTTCATAGAAGACCCTAGGCAGTTGAGCTCCAAAGTCAGCCCCTATAAACCTATCCAGTTCATGATGTAGCAGAACAGTAATAGGAAAGTCCTAGGCTGATGTTCAGATGATGAGAGCTTGGCCAGGGCTTGTCTCAGCTAAGTTTGTTTTTGGTGTCCTCTTTCTGAGCCAACCTTCCACTTGATCTCTTGCCTCAAGCCGCCCCTCTTCCTCCTGGCATCTCACATGGGCTATCATTTTTGCCAAAGTGTGTTCTATGCTTTAAAATTACCTTTGTTTTAATCTCATTTTGTCTGTGAGTGTTAGGAAGAAATCAATAGTATTGATCTAGTTTATAATACTGTCTAGCAGTTTATTAACACATGTATCTAAACTGTCCAATTGTCCTTGTCGCCACAAGTTACATGCCTCAAAGTGTCCTGCCTGTATAGTGAGACTTCCCCCTCCCACCGTCTTCCACTTCCTTCTTTTTGCCTGAATTTTTTTTTTTTGAAGACAGAGTCTTGCTCTATTGCCAGGCTGGAGGGCAGTGGTACAGTGGTGCGATCTCGGCTCACTGCAACCTCCAACTCCCTGGTTCAAGCAATTCTCCTGCTTCAGCCTCCCGAGTAGCTGGGATTACAGGCACGCACTACCAAACCCAGCTAATTTTTGTATTAGTAGAGACGGGGTTTCACCATGTTGGCCAGGATGGTCTCGATCTCCTGACTTCGTGATCCGCTCACCTCAGCCTCCCAAAGTGCTGGGATTACAGGTATGAGCCACCACGCCCAGCTCAGCTTGATCTTATTATACTACTATGAGTGAGGCTCAGGAAGGATGATGCTAATGTGGACAGAGTTATCTCTCTGAAAACAGATTAGCCTATAGTCAGGAAACTGCAAGTGCATTACTCGTTGATGGGAGAGGAGGACAACACCCAAGCTGGAGTTCCTGGCTTCCAGGAGTAAAATTTATTAACTCCCTTGTATCATGAAGATGAGAAGGCCCCACTTAGGGGGTGCAGGAACCTCAAGGAAGCAAGCAGGAAAATCATAGAGGAATTAGCATTAGAGTCCATATTCTGTATAGCAGAGATTTATAGCATGGTGGGATTTGAGGTTTTTTTTTTTTTTTTTTTTTGAGACGGATTCTGGCTCTGTTGCCCAGGCTGGAGTGCAGTGGCCGGATCTCAGCTCACTGCAAGCCCCGCCTCCCGGGTTCACGCCATTCTCCTGCCTCAGCCTCCCGAGTAGCTGGGACTACAGGCGCCCGCCACCTCGCCCGGCTAATTTTTGTATTTTTAGTAGAGACGGGGTTTCACCATGTTAGCCAGGATGGTCTCGATCTCCTGAACTCGTGATCCGCCCGTCTCAGCCTCCCAAAGTGCTGGGATTACAGGCTTGAGCCACCGCGCCCGGCCGGATTTGAGGTTTTAAATCCTGAGTTCTCAAACTGTGGCCTCCAGACCCGCAGCATTGGCAGTTTGTTTAAACTTACTGAATCAGAAATACTGAAGAGTGGGTTCCAGCAATCTCTTTTAACAAGCCCTCCAGGGGATTCTGATGCCTGTTGAAGTTTAAGAACCACTGTTCAAAACAGTAATCAAAACACTAAGTTTCTGCAAGGTTAGGGGGAATCGTCACAGAAGGAGTACTGGGTCCTCCCATACTTTTCTTACTAAACAAGCTGCCTCATAGAGCTTTTTAAAACTCATCAAAACTGTGAAACCCATTGGACTTCCAGTGAAAATTTGTTCCACAGAGGTAAAGCTTTAGAATGGCCAGGCGCGGTGGCTCACGCCTGTAATCCCAGCACTTTGGGAGGCTGAGGTGGGCGGATCACCTGAGGTCAGGAGTTCGAGATCAGCCTGACTAACATGGTGGAACCCCATTTCTACTAAAAATATAAAAATTAGCCAGGCGTGGTGGCAGGCGCCTGTAATCCCAGCTAGTCAGGAGGCTGAGGCAGGAGAATCGCTTGAACCCGGGAGGCAGAGGTTGCAGTGAGCTGAGATCGCGCCAGTGCCACTCCAGCCTGGGTGACAGAGCGAGACTCCATCTGGAAAATTTAAAAAAAGGCTTTAGAGTAAATGTTTCTTCTTGGCTTCCTCTTAAATGATCTAAAGGATGATGGAGATACTTCCTGTTTGCTTGTTCACACTGTATCCACAACAAATAGTAGGTGTTAGATTAAAATGTATTGAGTGGATGCATGAATTAATGAAGGATAAATATCAGTATACACATCCCTTATCCTCTACAGCAGGGATCAGCAAAATATGGCCCATTGCTTGTTTTTGTAAATAAAGTTTGTTAGAATGCAATCACACCCCTTCATTTACTCATCGTTTATGGTTGCTGTTGGGCTACCATGGCAAAGTTGCAAAGTTCAAACAGAGGCATGGTAAATCGTAAAGTATTCACGAACTGGCTCTTTATGGAAAAATTTTGGTGACCCCTGCCCCAGGGTAGTGATTCTCAAACTATAGTGTGCGTACAGATTTTCCAGAGAGATTGTTAAAATGGAGATTCTGGTTCATGGGTGATGCCAGTACCACTGGTCCAAGGACTGCGTGGGGTGGCCTGGAAAAAGAGCTAGGACAGTGTTGTGTAATAAGGTCAGGGCCCTGGTGTTTGTGGCTTATTTCTCTCGGTTGCTACATGATCATTTATGACTCAGCAGCTCTCAAATCCTAGGCCAGACACAGTGGAAGAGTAAATCATTTTATTAAGAAAGGTTTAGCATCATGAAATTATCCTCCTTTGGTTCCTGGGCCCATATTCCTCCAGCTCAACCTCACTTTAGGCACACCTCTCCAAGTTCCCTAGAGGAATTCTACAGAATTGTGAGTGCTCATGGTTTCTTATCTTTCTAAGTGTCTGTGGTCACACTTCACCCACCTGTCCCTCTGGGCAGCCTCCAAGCCCAGCCTTTTTATTTTCTCGGTGGCTCTGCAGGAAGCTAAATCTGGAGAAGCAAGGCTACTCCAGCCAGAACCCACTTGGATGGGTTTTCCTTAGTCTTCAGGTTGAAAGTCCACACGTAGGTGGGTCCCCGCTGACTGGTCTTGTACACAGGACAGGAATAGACACTGCGGCAGTCCTGCTTATCTGCAGGAATGGCCTTGATGAACATCACAGGCATAGGGGGTGTCAGATCCTTCAGCTTTGCCTCTGTAATGATCCCAGCCTGAGGATAAAACATGAGAAGAGGCACCTGAGATCAGACCCAGAGCCCAGCCAACCAGCCTTGCTCTTGTCAGCAGATCCAAGGGAGGAAAGACCGGGCTGGCATGGCTGCCTTTATGCCTGCCCCCTTCCAGGTTTTCTCAGCAGCCTGTGATGGAATGCATCTGATATGTAGAAACACGTTTCTATTTTTCTCAGCCTAAATCAGGTGAAGCAGAGTTCCAAAAGCCATTATTTATCATATACAAATGAATCCCTTTGGAGCTTGATTCTCCTCTAGTTTGTTTTTCCATTAATTCATTTCACAAGCATATCGAATGTGTATATTTGTCAGATGTCAGGCTAGGTGCTGGGGATTTAAAGATGACTAAGACACAGTTTCTGCCAGCAAATGCTTTAGCTTTTAAGGCTTTTGTTATGCCCTGTTTCTGTTTCTTTTCTGTTTCATATGCAACCTCCTCCATCCTCTAGAGTAGAGAGAGCTACATTCTATCTTTACTCGTGTAATGTGGACCTGACTCTTGTGTAGCTTTCCAGATGAGGCCTCCGTATGATTTTCTGAGCTATTTCAATACAGCTGTACAGAGAAATTTTTCCTACTAGTCCCGAGAAATGTTCTGCGAAGCCAAAGTCTCCCTTGGTCAAATAAATTTGGGAAGTGGTTCTTACCATACTCTGGACTTGACATTTTACAATATACACTATCACACTGAAGACAAGAAGTCCTAGGAATAAAGAAAACAGTTTATTTAACCTGATGTTTCCCAAACTTATTTGACCACAGAACCTTTCTCTTTGCAACCTGTTCATTTCCCATGGCACTAGTGCTGTATGGAACATACTCTGGGAAATGCTGATTCAGAGTGTTTCACAGATTCTTTGTGTCCATGTGACTCTGAGGCCTTTATGCCATGGACAAAATCTGGTTTATTTGTGTTAAATTTATTTAAAGGGAAGGATGTACCTCTTCTCTTCTTTTAGAGGCTGATGAGGTAAGGGATGGTGAGTAACAGAATTAAGGTAAACAATGGGGACCTCATTGCCCCACAGAGATGAATGTTTATGGCAAGGATAAGGAACAGAGGTAGAACCTCTTCTTTTCCCCACATACTGTAAAACCAATCCTTTTAAAGTGCATAATTTATTGGTTTTCGGTATGTTGACAAAGTTGTACAATCATGATCACTGTCTAATTCTAAAACATTTTCATCTCCCCCAAAAGAAACTCTATAATCATTAGCAGTCACATTAGCAGGAGGTATTGACGGCTCCAATTATTATGGTTGAATTGTTTATTTCTTCCTTTAATTCTGTCAGTTTCTGTTTTGTATTTTTTGGGGGCTCTTTTGTTAGGTGCCTCCATATTTACAATTGTATCTTCTTGATGGGTTGATCTTTTTATTCTCATAAAATGTCCTTTTTTGTCTCTATAATTTCTATCCTATTTATTTTTCGGTAACAATTTGTATCTTATAAAGGCCATTTTGTCTGATATAGTATACCCTCTCAGCTGCCTTTTGGTTACTGTTTTCATGGCATATCTGTTTCCATCTGTTTACTTTTAACCTATTGGTATCTTCCAATCCAAAATGTGTCTTTTGTGGAAATGATATAATTGGATCATGATGGGTTTCATGGTTTATTTTTAAAGATTCATTTAGCTAATCTCTGCCTTTTTAAAATGGCAGTGCTTAATCCATTCACATTTAATGTAATCACTGATTAAGTAGAATCTGCTATTTGTTTTCCATATGTCTATGTCTTTTTTATTTCTCAAGTTCTCCATTATTGTCTTCTCTTGTATTAATAGACATACGCTAGTGTATCATTTTAATTTCCCTTGTTTACTATTTTTAAAATTATTAGTAATTGCCTTGGGGATTACAATTACCATTCCAAGGCTGGGCATGGTGCCTTACACCTGTAATCTCAGCACCCTGGGAGGCCAAGGCAGGAAGATCTCGAGCTCAGGAGTTGGAGACAAGCCTGGGCAACATAGGGAAAACTCATCTCTACTAAAATTCAAATAAGTTAGCCAGGCATGGTGGCACATGCCTGTAGTCCCAGCTACTTGGGAGCTGAGGCAAGAGGATTTCTTGAGCCCAGGAAGTTGAGGTGCAGTGAGCCCTGTTCATACCACTGCACTCTAGCCTGGGTGGCAAAGCAAATCACCCAGTCTTAAAAAAACAAACAAACAAACAATTCTAATGTACATAACAATCTATTTCAGATTAATTCCAGCTTACTTTTTTTTTTTTTTTTGAGATGGAGTCTCACTCTGTTGCTCAGGCTGGAGTGCAATGGCATGATCTCGGCTCACTGCAACCTCTGCCTCCTGAGTTCAAGCAATTCTGCCTCAGCCTCCCCAGTAGCTGAGACTACAGGTGGGTGCCACCATGCTTGGCTAACTTTGCCATGTTGGTCAGGCTGGTCTCGAACTCCTGACCTCAAGTGATCCAACCACCTCATCCTCCCAAAGTGCTTGGATTACACGCCTGAGCCACTGTGCCTGGCCTAATTCCAGCTTACTTTCAATGGTATACAAAAACTAATCTTGTATAGCTCCGTCTCCTCTCCCTCCTTTGGGCTGTTTTCATCATTTACATTACATCTTTATACATTTCTATCCATCAACACAGATTTATAATTATTTCCTTATGCAGTTGTCCTTTAAATTAGATAGAAGAGAAATAAAAATTACAAATTATACATTTATACTATCTTTTATACTTACATATGTAATTGCCTTTATCCATATTCTACATCTTTGTGTGGACTTGAGTTTCTATCTAGTGTCCTCTCCTTTCTGCCTGAAGGACTCCCTTTAGTATTTCCTATAAGGCTGGTTTACTAGTGATGAATTCTTTCTCTCTCTGTCTTCTTAAAAAATCTGAGAATATCTAACTTTCTTCACTTTTGAAAGAGAGTTTTGCTGCAGGTAGGATTCTTGGCAGATAGTCTTTTTCTTTCAGCATTTTGACTATGCCATCCTACTGCCTTCTCTTTCATGGTTTCTGATGAGCAGTCAGCTATTACTCTCACTGAGAACCCCTTGTAAGTGATGAGCCACTTTTGTTGCTTTTAAGATTTTCTCCTTGTCTTTATCTTTTACCAATTTGACTATAATATGTCTCGGTATGGATCTCAGAGTTTGTTCTACTTGAATTTCATTGAGCTTCTTGGACATGTAAATTAATGTTTTTCTTCCAATTTGGACAGTTTTGGGTCATTATCCTGGCCCTTTATCTCTCTTTTCTTTTCTAAACTGTCATTGTGCATATGTTAGTATGCTTGATGGTGTCCCACACGTCTCTGAGACACTTCATTTTCTCATTTTTTTTATTCTAACGATAATTTCAATCCACCTGATTTTAAATTTGCTGATTTTTCTGCCTATTCAATTCTGCTATTGAATTCCTCTATTGAGTTTTCATTTTGGGTATTATATTTTTCAACTCCAGAGTTTCTACTTTATTCTTTTAAAAATATATAATTTTCCTCTCTGTATTCTCCATTCAGTAATACATTGTTGACACAATTTTCTTCAGTTATTTAGAGACATGGTTTCTTTTGGTTATTGGAACACATTTAAAATAGCCAATTTAAAGTCTTTGTCTAGCAAGTCCAGTATTTGATCCCCCTCAGGAATACTTTGTGTTGATTGCTTTCTTCCTTGTGTATGGCCCGTTCATTTTTGTTTCTTTGTATGTCATACTTTTTTTTGTTGAAAACTTGGACATTTTAAATAATGAGGCCACTCTGCAAATCATATTCTCTCTCTCTTCAGGGTTTGTTTAGTGACTTTTCTGAACTGATTCTGTAAAGTCTATATTCTTTGTCAAGTATGGCAACTGAAGTGGCCTGCCCTATTAGCTTAGAGGTCACCAAATAATTGGACAGATTTTCTTAAATGCCTGGAACCGGTAAGTCACAAAGTCTTGGCTGAGTGGCTGTGTGCAAGTGTTGGAGCACACCTTCAATGCTTAGCCAGGCAATTTAACTTAGATTTAACTCCCCTGTTTTCCTAGAACCTCAAGGTTAGCTACAGTGTACAGCCTTCTCAACTCTCTTGAGCATGTCCACAGCTGTGGGTGTGTGCACAGATCTGCACATAGGCATGGCCTAGATTTCCAGGAACATGTCAGTGGTTTTCAAAGCCCCCTATGGCCATCACATTCTCCAGCTTGCCCTTTTAAGCTTTTTGGTTAGCCTATTGTTTGCTCTGCTATTATCTACTGCTTCAGACAAACTGCAGTGTTAAGCAGTTGTCTTTGATTGTCTTCAACAAATGCCCTGGGGAGAAAGGCTGTTGCTCTGGGTGAGTTCCAACTCAGGTGAAATAAGAAAGACTTGTGAGGCCAGGGAATCTATGGACAGGCAAAATAATGACAGTTTTTTGTGGGGTTAACAGGGCTTTGAAGGTGCTCTAACCCCATTTTGCCCCTTCTGGTGGTTTCTAGGTTACTGGTTTTCACTGTGATTGCGGTCTGTTGGTTTTTTTTTTTGAGACGGAGTCTCGCTCTGTCGCCCAGGCTGGAGTGCAGTGGCGCGATCTCCACTCACTGCAAGCTCCGCCTCCCGGGTTCACGCCATTCTCAGCCTCCTGAGTAGCTGGGACTACAGGCGCCCGCCACCGTGCCCGGCTAGTTTTCTGTATTTTTTTTTTTTTTTTTTAGTAGAGACGGGGTTTCACCGTGTTAGCCAGGATGGTCTCGATCTCCTGACCTCGTGATCCGCCCGTCTCGGCCTCCCAAAGTGCTGGGATTACAGGCTTGAGCCACCGCGCCCGGCCGGTCTGTTGGTTTTATAGGCAACCTCCAAGCTAGGGGTTGGGTAGAGATAGGAATAGACAAGTTAAAAGGCCATAGACTGTTCTTCCTACTGAGATTCAGCTGTTTTGCTTGAATAAATACTTCTTGGATTGCTGAAAGCCTTTGGTTAATTTCCAGAATTCTAAGAAAGTTGATTCTGACTCAGTTTTTGTGAATGTTCTCATTGTTTTATGGAGGAAAGGATTTTAGGAGGTCCTGACTCTTCCATTTTTGCTGACATCTTTCTGGGATAAAACCTTTGAGAACAACAGCTTATGGTGAACAAGTATTGATTTTGGGGAAGTTTTTATTATTATTTACAATGAGTTATGAAAAATGGGAGGTTGACAATTGAAACTGATATCCTTCCCCCACCTCCAGTGTCACTGACTTTCCTTCTGAGCTTCTTGCCTACTTTCCTTTTGGTACTTCTCTCATTTTGGTGGTTTGGAGGATTCTATTAATAGCTGTGGCTTGCTCTAGGCCACCTTATACCTAATGCAATCCATATATGATCTCCACTGACACAATCTTGTGCAAATGTTCAAGTGGAGAGAGGGAAGTCAACTTCCTTTTCAAGATTCAGGATGTCTAAACATTATCCTACTTTACTGTCCTTTCTGTTGGCTCTTGAATTGCTTTCCTAGTTCTGGCACAATAAAATGCCACAAACTGGATGGCTTGAAACAACATATTATCTCATAGTTCTGGAGGCCAGAAGTCCTAAGTCAAAGTGTGGGCAGAGTTGGTCCTCCTGGAGGTTCTGAAGCAGAAACCATCTCATACCTTTCCTAGCTTCTGATGGTTACTGGCAATCCCTGGAATTCCTCGGCTTGTAGATGCATCACTCCAATCTCTGCCTCTCTCTTCATAGGGAATTCTCTTCTGTGTCTTTACATGGTCTTCTTTGGTTTTTTTTTTTTTTTTTTTGAGGTAATTTGTTTAACTGAAAGCCTATATGGAATGAATGAATACATTTCCTACTGCTAATAGTACTCCAGGAGACTGTTACTTGCTATATCCAACAAAACGGTAAGCTATAAAACATGTCTCAACAAAATTTTCCGTCTCCTTTGCCTTTCAGTTTCTTTTTAAAAAAATTTCAACTCTTAGATACAGGGGGTACATGTGCAGATTTGTTACTTGGGAATATTGTATGATGCTGAGGTTTGGAGTATGGATCCCCTCATCTAGTTAGTGAGCATAGTACCAGATAGGTAGTTTTTATTAACCCCTACCCTTCCCTCCACCCTCTAATAATCCACAGTGTCTATTGTTCCCATATCTGTGTCCATCTAGGTGGTCGTCGTCTTCTTTTTTTTTTTTTTGAGATGGAGTTTTGCTCTTGTTGCTCAGGCTGGAATGCAATGGTGCAATCTCGGCTCACTGCAACCTCTGCCTCCTGGGTTCAAGTGATTCTCCTGCTTCAGCCTCCCGAGTAGCTGGGATAACAGGCATGCACCACCACGCCTGGCTAATTTTGTACTTTTAGTAGAGACAGGGTTTCGCCCTGTTGGTCAGGCTGGTCTCAAACTCCTGACCTCAGGTGATCTGCCCGCCTCGGCCTCCCAAGGTGCTGGGATTACAGGTGTGAGCCACTGTGCCCAACCTGTGTGGTCTTCTTGTAAGGGTACTGGTCATTGGATTTAGGGTTCATGATAATCCAGTATGACCTCATCTTAACTAATGACATCTGCAAAGACCTTATTTCTAAATACTCATTCTGGGGTTATGCCTGGACATGAATTTTTGGGGGTACTACTTAACCAAGTAAATTTCTATTTGCATATTCACATGGCCTCCTGGGATCTTCTGGATCTTCTAACAGATTTGCCCCATTAGCTTTATGTTGACTGCTAAGAATAGTTTAGTGTCACCTGTCAAGTGGGATATTTGACTAGGGACTCTTTCCAGATTATGCGTACAAGTGTACACTTCTAGAATTATCCATTCTTGTTCATTACATTTATCCCAGCCATCTGTGCTTGTTTGCTAGTTTCTTACCGGTGACAAAACATCTCCAATCTCATGTGACTCACGTTTTTATTAGCCTTTGATGAGGAATCCTTTCAAAATGCCACTTTAAGGGATATCTACTGGCTCCTCTTCACCGACATAGGACAACATAAAAGGCAGAAGATTCCTGCCCTGTGAGAGCTCATGAATGAGGAAAGCGGACCAAGGAGGTGAGGCAGGAGAATTGCTTGAACTCAGGAGGCGGAGGTTGCAGTGAGCCGAGATTGTGCCACTGCACTCCAGCCTGGGTGACAGACACACAGCAGCAGCAGCAGCAGAGATAGCTGACTGCAACACTTTTTGAGCACTGCCTATGTGCCAGGCCCTGTTCAACTGTCTTACATATTGGCTCGTTTAATTTTTACAATGACGCTATTCTCCCATCTAACAGGTGAGGTCTGGAAAGGTGAAACTATATCTAAGGTTACAGAGTTAATAAATGGTGGTGCTGGGATTCAGATCCAGCCAGTCTGGTTCCAAAGACCTTGCTATTAACCTCTCCACTCTACTGCCTCTGCAAAGGCTATGCTCTTTGCACCATCCCTGGCTAAATAAAAATGGCTTGATGGCCTCAAGCAAAGAAAGGTTATCTAGAGAAAAAGATTCAGGAACATCTCTTTTAGTAGTCACACTTCATAGGAAGCAATGTGTATTTAATCAGCCTCCAGAAAGATACCCTTTGGTTCATCCCAAGCTTTACCTGTGTGTCCCAGCAGGCACCTTCCATGAAGAGGCCGTGGATGTAGGCCCCTTCCCGAGGAGGACTCCTAAACTCTTCTCTGTTCTTCTTTGTCACGTCACATTGCAGGGCCATCTGGTCCAGTGGCCACTCATTCTTGCGAGCCGTGGATTGCATGATGGCAGTCAGGAACGACTGGGGGTTGAAGAAGCCTGTCAGCCACACAGTGGAGGGCATTGTAAAGTCGCCCGTCCAAGCCTCTAGCTCCTTGATTCTGTTGAGGAGGTCTAGAAACCAGGTTGCCAGGCCTGCTGTGGAAGGGTAGGCCCGTCTAGCCCAGGACTCTGGCACCAGGTCGAAGTACAGGGCATTCTGTAAGTTCTCCATGTGGCTGGTCATAGTCAGCTCCCCCTGAAGATAAAGAATGGGAGGGGTAACGAGTGAGAAGGCGGGAAGTCCCTCCAAATAACTGGCCCCAGAGACCCTTGGCTCATGGCACCCAGGCGGACAAGAGTTATCCATCCTTGTTCATGTCATTTGAATGTGACTCCGGGTTGGGTGACATAATGACTGTCCTGTTTAGTACTTGCTTTGGAAAGTTTGTCTCACAGAAGCTGGTCCTTGAAAATCCTCCCTGCTCTGATGTCGGAGTCTCAACTGTCTACTGACAGTGTTTCAAAAAACACAATTGCTGGCCGGGCGCGGTGGCTCAAGCCTGTAATCCCAGCACTTTGGGAGGCCGAGACGGGTGGATCATGAGGTCAGGAGATCGAGACCATCCTGGCTAACATGGTGAAACCCCGTCTCTACTAAAAAAATACAAAAAACTAGCCGGGCGAGGTGGCGGACGCCTGTAGTCCCAGCTACTCGGGAGGCTGAGGCAGGAGAATGGCGGGAACCCGGGAGGCGGAGCTTGCAGTGAGCTGAGATCGTGCCACTGCACTCCAGCCTGGGTGACAGAGCGAGACTCTGTCTCAAAAAAACAAAAACAAAAACAATTGCTTCCCATTGCAGGCTTTAAACCATTTGTGGGTTCAGTGCCACATGACCCTACCCTAAAGCTCAAATTCCATGACTCTCCTGCATGCAGCTTAGAAATCCAAGAAGCCAACGCCTGCAAAGATCTATATTACCCCAAATCAGGGATTTCCTTCAGAAATCGAGCTATTGGATACGTAATCAACTTTAAGGGACACTCTTTCAACAGCTAGATAGGATTTGTAAAGAAAGGTTTACACTGAACACCATCTTTTTTTTTTTTTTCAGAGACAGAGTCTCACTCTGTTGCCCAGGCTGGAGTGCAGTGGTGCAATCTCTGCTCACTGCAACTTCCGCCTCCCGGGTTCATGTGATTCTCTTGCCTCAGCCTCTTGAGTAGCTGGGATTACAGGCACCTGCCACCACGCCCGGCTCATTTTTGTATTTTTAGTAGAGACAGGGTTTCACCATGTTGGCCAGGCTGGTCTTGAACTCCTGACCTCAAGGGATCAGCCTGCCTCACCCTCTGAAAGTGCTGGGATTCTAGGCGTGAGCCACCGCGCCCGGCCTGAACACCATCTTTAAAAGCAAACTTTGTAACTTTGGCTCTGCCAGTGATCTGTGGCAATTTCTTGAAGACCCCATTTCTATGGTTGTGGTTTCTGTAACAGGTGTTAGGGCACCTGACAGCGTTTGGCTGTTTCATCAAGGGCAGACTGCTAAAATGTAAGATGTTCTCACCTCCATAGGGCCTGGAGTCTCCTGGCCTGTGGGAAAGGAGACTGGCACATAGAATTCTAGGTCTAACTCTTCCTCTTAACTTTTGGAATGCTTTTTTTTTTTTTTTTTTTTCTCGAGATGGCATCTTGCTCTGTCACCCAGGCTGGAGTGCAGGGACACAATCTCTGCTCACTGCAACCTCCGCCTCCTGAGCTCAAGCAATTCTCCTGCCTCAGCCTCCCAAGTAGCTGGGATTACAGGCGTGTGCCACCACGCCCAGCTAATTTTTTTTGTATTTTTAGTAGAGACAGGGTTTTACCATGTTAGCCAGGCTGGTCTCGAACTTCTGACCTTGTGATCTGCCCGCCTTGGCCTCCCAAAGTGCTGGGATTACAGGTGTGAACCACCGTGCCTGGCCCACTTTTGGAATTCTTAAAAGCAGTTAAGCATACCTACCTTAAGATGAACATATTTCAGTCTCCTGAGTGACAGCCAGAGGCTCCTGATTTATAAGAAATAAACTACACTGGTAACTTTTTTATGAACTTCCCACACGGAGTGTAATTATTACGAATTCACTTTCTAGACTGTAGTGTCTGGTGGCCGTACTATTTTAAGACATAAAAACCTTAATATTTTAAAGAAAAGACAAATATCCCTCATCAGACCGGCGACAGATGGACCAGCCTGAATGAGTACAGTGTGAATTACAAATGTTTCCCCCCAAGTAACAGGACTTTATACAGGGATAGAAAATAGATTTCATTCCATGTATCTATCCAGATGTTTTGAGGTGGATGACCAGAGCATTGTGATGAATCTGAGGCCACATCAAGGCTCAATGGGATGTAAAAGAGCCCTGTATGTGCCACCAAAGTTTATCACTTTCAAACAAACCCGAATTTGATGAGCAAGTTTGTTCCGGTAGATTTCCTTAAGGATTTGCTGAAATGAATATCCTTATTAGGTTAAAATAGAAAAAAACTGTTTCCTTTCTTTGGAATCTCTGCTTTAGTGTACACAGGCTTCTGAGAAAAGGGTTTCAAATGCTGCTTATGTCTCTGAGCCCAAATCAAGCTTCTCAGACAATATGGTCTTCCTCATATCTGTAGTTATGTGATAATTCATTGCTACATGCATTGTATAGCTTACATAGTAATTGTTTCCCTTTAACTGGTTAGTTAATAAAATAACATTAAGTGTAAAGATTAAATTTAGTGCAAAGGACAAAATCAATGGTCAAAAAAGATCATTCCCTTGTCTTAGGAGACCCTCTGTGTAGCCATGTCTTCCCTTACTACATTATCAAGGACGTTCACGGTCATGGTGAACAAAAGTGATGACGGTGGAAAACCTGGCCTTGTTCCCAAACTTAGAGAGAAAGCAGGCCGTCCCTCACCATTAAATCTGTTTTCTTTAGATTTCCTTTAAGTTGACATTTCCTTTGATTTCTGTTTTTTTTTTTTTTTGATACTTTAAAATGAAGATTTGGTGTTCAATTTCATCAAACGCCTTTTCTGCATTTATGAAGCTGATCACACAATGTTTAAATTTAGCACATTAATATGGTAAACTTCACTGACTGATTTTTGAATCTTAAAAGTAATCTTGTATTCCTAGGCTTACTGCATTTAGCCATGATATATTATCCTTTTCTTATATTGTGTGATTAGTAATCTTGTATTCCTAGGATTACCGCATTTAGCCATGACATATCATCTTTTTCTTATATTGTGTGATTTGATTTGTTAACATTTTGCTAAGGAGTTTTGCATTTGTGTTTATGAGGAAAGCTCATCTGTCATTTGCTCATAAGGTATTTGGTGTCACGTTAATTCTGTTTTCATAAAATTTGTTGAGAAGTTTTCTCTGCTTTTTAAAAAAAATATATACTTTTTTTTTTTAGGGCAGTTTTAGTTTCACAGCAAATTGAGCAGAAAGTACAGCGATTTCCCTGGACACATGCACAGCCTCCACCACGATCGGCATTCCCCACCAGAGCGGTACATTTGTTACATGTAATGAACCTGCATTCACCTCATTATCACTCAGAGTCCCTAGTTTACCCCAGTTTGCCCTTTGTGTTGTACAGTCTATGTGTTTGGACAAATTTATAATGGCAGGTATCTACCCTTATAGTATCATATTGTATCATTATAGTGTAATAACAAGTATTCACCATTATAGTATTATATATTATTGCAGTATAATTGTATGTATCCACCGTTACAGTATCGTACAAATATAGTATCATGTTGTGTCATTATAGTATATGACAAGTGTCCAACATTATAGTATCATATTCATCATTATTGTTTCAGTGTCCTAAAATTTTTCTGTGCTTGACCTACTCATGCCATCGTCACTCTTAACTCTGGGCAACCAGAGGTTTTACTGCCTCCATTATTTCACCTTTTTCAGAACGTCACATAGTTAGAATAATACAGTATGTGGCCTTTCCATATCGGCATCTTTCACTTAGTAATATGTGTTTAAGTTCCCTCGGTTTCTTTTCATGGCTTGAAAGCTAATTTTATTTTATTTTTTAAGCAATTGAATAACAATCCACTATCTGGATGTACTGCAGTTTTTCCATTTACCTACTGAGCTACATCTTGGTTGCTTCCAAGTTTTGGCAGTTATGAATAATGCTGTTATAAACATCTGCAGGTTTTGTATGGTGATTTAAAACATTAAATTAAACTTACAATTTTGAGATAATTATAGGTACATTTATAGTTGTAAGAAATAATACAGACAGATCTTGTGTATCCTTTACCTGGTTTCCCCTAATGGTAACAGCTTGCAAAACTATAGTCCAGTATCACAAGCAAGATATTGACACTGATACAGTCAAGACACAAAACATTTCAATCACGATAAGGATTCCTGTTTGTTCTGTGGTGTATGGCTGAAGTAGCATGTTTATTGTCTAAAAGTTTTCTGTCTTGCTAGGCTGTCTCTTCGCTGGTTCATCTCTCTCTCTGATGAAGAGAACAGTTTTGTTGTTGTTGCTGTTTTGTCAGCATCCACTGGCATTTCTGGTTTGCTGGCTTTTTTTTTTTTTTCCCCCATTCTGAGGTCTATGAGGCATAAAGAAAATCCAAGAAACTCACTATCATGTCCTTTCTTGGGTCCTGAGGTTCCTAGATAGTCTTCATTCCTCTCTACATGTTTCAGAGTCTTATGTTTCTTCTATATAAATTGGCCATGGTTTTTATTTATACTTAGCAGGAGGAATAGGGGAACATATGTCTACTCCATCTTCCTGGACGTAGAAGAGTTTATGTAAAATTGCTATTATTTCATCCTTAAATGTTTGTAAAATTTACCAAGGATACTTTGCGGATCAGGGGTTTTCTTTGTGGGAAATTTTAAATTATGAATTCAATTTTTAAAATAGATATGGGCTATTTAGGTTATACATTTTACTGGGGTGAGCTTTGATGGAGTCTCATAGGGAATTGGTTCACTTCATTTAAGTGGTTGAATTTAATCGCAGAAAATTATTCATATTCTCTTAAAATGCTTTTAATGTCTATAGGATTTATGATGATATCTCCCCTTCCATCCTGATTTTTTCAAGTTTTTGTTTTTTCTCTTTCTTCTTATAAATTCAGGTAAATGTTTATTAATTTTATTCATTTTTAAAAAGAACTAGCTTTTGGTTTCATAAAGTTTTATAAATTTTTGTTTTCACTTTCATTAATTCT